AAAACTACGATTAAAAAAAAAAAAAAAAACAAAATCTATCACTTCTCTACTGAATGCAAGTGAATAATGGACAGAAAACTGTTCTAGGTATGAAATTTTTCGTTAATATCCTCATTTTTCAATATCCTCAGAGAATCGAATTTGAATATATTCCATCAAAAATTAGATAGCTACATTGATGAATTTTCAATTTGATTTTCCTAGCCTAAAAGAATTTAATTCTACATTTTTTTATTCTTCACATGTATAATATATAAAATTTTTTGCAGTCTTTTCTTATATGTAGAATTAACTCTATCTCTATTTTATCCTGATAACTGGAACACTTTGTACAAATAATTGATCGTTCTTCAAAAATTTAGTATTCCTATCATAAGAGCTTCTAGCTCGAAATATATATTCAATAAGTCATAAACAGTAAAGCAGTATAATATCCTCGAAATTCATCGACTACTATATTTTATCGACTTCCATAAAACAAGATCTTCTATATACTCGCGTTATTAATATAAAATTTTCTCCATAATCTATAATTTATCGGAGAGAAAAATAAACGTATCCTCGATAAAAAGAAAATACGAAACGAAAAATCTCATCATCGATCGAAACATAATTTCTAATAATGCTCTCAGGGATTAAAGATGGATCCGTCCATCCGTAACAAGTTTTGCATATTTGAGTTCACATTTGCACGCGTGGAAAAAGTGTGAAACACGGTGAATCAAAGGGGAATAGGAAACGTTGGCCAAATGGAATTGCATCGAATGTATCACCATGATCGAGCTTATCCTCCAAGTTTTGGTAAATGGAGAACTACCATCGTTTGAATTCGAATGCAGAGGAGAACCACTCGAAAGGGTAATTTTCTCGATGGAAAATTTGTTCGATGTCCAATCGTAGCTCGAGTATTTTCAAATGCATATTTAATTCCAACGTTGCTATTATTGATAACATCGGTTATTTTGTTATTAATCTATCAAATTTTTCAATTTTTATTTGAAGATTATTCGAGTTCTTTTTTTTTCGAGTAAAATAAAAAAAAGTAACAGGATATTTAGTTGCCAGCGAGTTGATGAAATTTTTTATTGCGAGAATCAAATTGCCGGAAGGCTCTTGCGAAGATCCTCAATCTTTCAAAGAGTATATTAAGACAACTTAGTCCGACTAATATACTTTTCTATAAAATTCTTTAACTCTCTTAAAAATATTACTCCGTCAACAACTCATCGTTTTTCAGTATGTTTATATATTGTATTTTCTATCTGTTATTCCAAGAAATTCTCGTATTTGCAAGTATTCTCTGTTTTCAAATATTCTTTCTTTTGGTGTTGTTCGTAGATATTTATAAGAGATAATATTTCATACCGCTACAAACAGTTGTAATTTTCTCTTAGATTGCATCCTATATTCTTTTCAGGAATTTACAAATCAATTTCACGATATATAAATATTCACTGCAATCTAAAGAATCTTTCTCATATCTTATTTTCCAAAAATACGAAATTAATTCCATATTAAATCGTATAAACTTTATATCAAATCCGATAGATCTTCCAAAAATTGGATCGCGCTAAAAGCAGTTCCAAAATCGATGGGAATAAAACGAAAAATCTACGAGAATTTGACGATTAACGTTTGCTTTTTTTTCTTTTTTCGTACCTCTTCTATACTCTATAATCAAAATCCTGTAAACTAAAATCGTTGCGGTTGTAAACCATAGATGAAATGGTGCGTTTTCACAGCGCTGGTTCGACGAATGTTCGCGGTACAATGACGAATATCGTCAATTTTCCTGGATCGGTCAGCAGAATCGCTCGACCGATATTTTCGAGCAGATTCATCTCGTCACCATTGAAACACGACCTATCCTGATCGAGGAGACGATGTTTTCGTCCACGATTTTCATCCTCTTTTCACGCGCATCACTCTGAAAATTTGCATTATCCACGAAGAGCATCAGAGTGTTATTCATTATTCTGTTATTAAAATTGATTCGACGAGTTTTTTCGCTATGTTCATTGCCACTCGACAAATTCACGGGATAAAAATCGATTTAGAGTAATAACGAAAAAAGGAGCAACGACAATTGACAAAGAGATTGACGATTGACAAAGGGATTGATGAGAAAATGCCTTCGTTTTAATCAATAGAGGATCGCTTTTAGCCTCTTTTTTTCTCTCTTGTAATGCCATTTCTGGATTAATTTTAGGCTTTTTGACTTCTACGTGGATTATATTGTAGATAAAACAAAAAAACGAAAAAAAAATTTTTTTGATCGTTGAAATTCGTCGTTCAATGTGCATTTCACCATGATACGAATTATTTCGTCTCTATCATTTTATTACATCATTATTGTTATTATGTTTGAACATCATTCGTATGCTATTTGACAACAACAAATATGCGATGTCTTTTATAACGTCTAAAAGAAAGTTGATGGATAGACGAATATCACTGGATGAATTTCATTGGTTGATCCCAAACCTTCTTCTTGCTTCCAGTCGAAAGGCAATCTTAGCTCAAACCTGGTAGAAGGAAATCCGGTATTTGCATGCTACGTCCCGTAGGGATTTTTGCGGATATCCCTTCGTTGCTTGAGTAATCAAAAAACCTACGTGATTCTCTCTTTCTATCTTCAACTCTTCCTTTTACGCGTTCAACCCTCTATCTTGCTTGTTTTCCTTTCGCTCTTTCATTTTTCCACCTCACTTTTATCTCCTATTCTTCTCTCTCGAGGAAATCCGTACACATTTCCATTTCTACGAACGGTTTCCGATTTTCTTGAATCACGTATGGAATTAAGGATATAAAAATGATCGTGATATACATCGTTTCGCGTGTTGAAATATTTCTTTAAACGGTTTTAATCATTAAAAAGGCCGTCGTTATTTAAAGTGGATGTCATTCGATTATTATTTCACGCTATCGAAAGATTTATTTTTCTTCAACTTTTAAAATTAATTTTATTTCATATATCATCGGTGTGAAATATTGAATCTATTCGATAACATATCGAGCTTTCCAAAAATTCAATTATCAAAAATTCAATTATCAAATATTTCCTCATCGAAATCATTTCAACTTCAACTTCATCCTTTTTACGATCCTTCTTTCAAAATACAAGAAATTAAATTTGGCATCCTCATCCTCCGATTACACTACTAATTTCTTCTTCTTTATGTCTATGTTACAGATCCTCCAGCTGCAAATGAACGATTACAGATATCACTACATGTTCACCACGTTCGTAAGTATTCATCAGTAGTAGATATTCTGACGCGTTTCTATACCGATGGAAATTGGAAACGGAGCTTCCTTAATGAAGCACACGCTTTAAATACAACCCCGTGGAAGTTGGTTTTGCTCCTTTGAAGGATTCTAAATTGAGTACTCGCGAATTCGTTGCTCTTCACTTAATTAACCGACCACAAGTAGAGACTGTCAGTGGGTCTGTCGTCGTATCCAAATTATGACGAACATTACACGAATGCTCAATTATTAGCTTCTTAACATTTGAAAAATTAAATTTAAATAAATATGTTAATTAAATATCAATTGAATACGTCAATGATGCTTTTCATTGTCAATACTTAATAATTCTGATTTTTTCTCGGTTCAGAAATTTGGAAAATAATAACTTCGATGAGGTGTTTGTTAAAGCAAAAGATCGGAGCAACTATCTCGAAATTCAATGTCAATTTAGTGGTATCAAAACGTGGCGGAAATTCATTCGTTTTGCACTCGAGTATTCTGTTTCCTCCCCTGTTTTCGATATCATTGCATTCCACCAAACTTCACTTGGAACTCGAGCACAGAATTCTGTGCTCGATTGTGAGTGCTTGAAATCGTTACAAATATATTTCGATTATCTTTTAAAAATGATTGTGAGTGCCTGAAATTGTTGCAAATATATCTCGATCATTTTTAAAAATCATTTCGAATGAAGTTGCACGATCTTTGACAGTTGCATCTGGTTTCGAAATGCTATTCGCGAAAATATCGTTGGATATTTTTCGATTTACGATATATTGGTCAGAAATTGATAAAAAATATATTGAAAATAAAATATGATTTTCGAAACAATATTATTTATATTTTCTATGAAATAATTGTACATATTTCGTGAAATTTTATGAATTTTAAAATAAATCACACGATAAAACTTATATTTATAATTTCAAAATTGACGAGTACAAAAGGAAATTTGATAATTCCATTTTTGTTAATTCTCTCTTTTTCTCGTCATTTGTAAAAGCTTTGATATGCCGAAAAATTGGAAAGCTCGACGAGTCGTATATTAAAAATTTTGTAAAAATTGTAAAATTTAATTTATTAATTTTCTATTTTATGATCTTATCACGAAGCCAAATCAAACGTAAAGCCATTCTTTGACGTAAATGTATATGGGATATCAGGGCACACGTTTATTCAAAGGATCGTTGAAGCGTCACGGATTCGGGAAACATGACAGAGCAATAAATCGTGCAACCGCGTTCCTCGATTACTCACGAATCGATGTAAATTAACCGGTGGTATTTGTCTATCAACAGCATTCGAAAATGAATTTCCCAATGAACGCGGAGCATCGCAATCATTCGCTTTAAGGATCGCATCCATAGAACGATAAATCGAAAATATATTCGTTTGAAGTTTAATGAACGATTAATACATTTCGCATTTCTTTTTTTAATTCGTGTTACCTGAATATATTTATTTTAATTACAAATTTAACGCGACAGGAGTGTCGTTAAATCTCAAATATAATTAACAAACGTGCAATTTTCAAATAATATAAAAAACACGAATAAACCATATATTGAAACAATATACGATTAAAACGAAAGATATTGAATATAGAGTAAAAAAATTAGTGTGAAAAAAATCCTCTGTTCTCGTACTACTGTTCGATATATCAAAATTTATTGCTTACAATATCAATCTATTCGTTTGTCTCCTTCTTTTTATTCGTTTATACTATCTGCTCCTCCTGGTATGCCATTTTGTTTACTTGTTTATCCAGTTTGTTATTATATTTACATTCCTTCGTTCGCTTACTTTTATTCGTTTGCACAGCGTATTAATCAATTTTTCGAATCGCGACTTTTTCATAAAAGAAAAATAGATACGAATATTATCTGCATCGCGCGTTAAATTCATAATAAAAATAAAACCTAAAATCGAGATCAAGATCACGAAAAATACGCATTTTGCTAATTACAAATTGAACACGAGTTGGAGAAAAGCCTATTCTACAAAAAGAAAAAAATTTATTTAAAACAATCAATCAAAAACAATAATAATTGACTTCTGTCTCATTTTCAACCGTTTGAATCTATCTTATCCCATTTGCACCGTGAATTATAGATATTCTGTATACACAGATTGAGAACAGTGGAATTACTCGTTGGTCGACGAGATGAAAATTCGAAATGAAACTAACTGCTAATTGTGACATTTATGAGCGGGCAAATATTGACTGAAATAATTATTCTTGATCAAACATAAAGCGGTTGACAAAGGATTGTCTATGAATTTCACACGATCATCGATCGTGTCGACTATTGTTAATGTTACTCACGTCTCGCGTAGCGGTTCGGTAATACCTTCATAATTGTCGATCATTCGAAACGTAACCGCGTGACACCCGTGAAACATGAACTCTCACGAGAGAGTCTAATCGACTCGCATAATATTATATCCCGAAGAAAACATGTGCATACATCAGATATGAAATAAATATCACGCTTCACGCGACAAATTGTCACGAATTCAATGCTTACCAATGACATAACATGGAGGAATGTATGAATTAATTGTGTGAAGCGAGGTTAATGACACGAAGATTATAAACCGGTTTCTCGTATAAATTTATTAATTATCGAATAAAAAAATCCGTGGAAATTATAATTGTGAATAATTGTAAATTATATTTAACCGATTGATTGCACTTCTAGAAAGTCTATAAACTTTGGAACCAATCTATGAACTTGAAAAAAGGGTAAATTAAGCTTCTAAAGATCCGACGATAGCCGTACAGTTCGCAATAATGTTTCCCTTCGCTTTGAAAAGACTGTTCTTCGATCCTCCAGGTGAATTAAGATTGGATAGATTTTCTTGGACAAAGAGAAATCGACAGCCAATATCTAACTGTTTTAAAGAAAAGTAGAGACTTTCGCCTATAGATAGGATCGCTTTCATCGAGATTTTCAAAGAAATTTTAATCCACTAAACGAATCCAATATTGGAAAATACAGTAGCTATCATAGTAGTGTTTTATTAATAGGATTAACCCTTCTTGTCTGGATAATGTTTTATTAATGTTTTTTTTTTAATTTTATTTTATTATTCCTTTTTTACATATGAAAATAATATATCGTGAGTGGAATAAATTGGAAAATTTGCACAATAATATTTTCCGAAATAAGAAGAAATAAGAAGGAATTAAAATTTAAATTTTTAAAAACTCAAATCCAAAATATTACGAGATCTCGAAATTCTTGAAATGCAGAATATTTATTAATGAAATGAAAACATATTCATATCGTTATTATAATTTTATAATTTTATTTATACGAATTAATATTTAAATTTCGAGAATTTCGAAGTTCTAACTATCCTATCTCTACACTTAATAATAATGGATATGAATATACTTGGAATAAAAGAGAAAAAAAAAAATGATTTTTAGGACATAGAGACATTCGATCTGGAGGATTTCAAATACAACAGTGTGAACATGACTGCGTTCCGTCTTGTGGACCTCGAGGAACCAAAGGTGGCCGAAGTTCTGAGACAGATGGAACGTTTCCAACCGATTGGCCACGCTATCCTCAACAAAACCGGAGTTATCCAGGTTGGTGGAAAGTTCAAGTTACTTCGAGGTGTATGCTCGACCGCCGGAAGTCGCTATCGGCCTCAAAACTCGTTACACCCTAGCCCATTGAAATGGAAAACGGTTTTCTACGTTTCCGTTGAACGATCTCGCGCTAACTTTAAGAAAGAATAGTCAATGCCTGATATTCTTTATGGAAGTCTCCTGATTTACATCGTATAACATCCGAGGATATCGCGCATGGATGGATAAAAATCGAAGACATGAGCTAAAAGCATTCCATTTTGGAAGATCCATCCATTTTAGGCGAGAAGAGAAGAGAATAAATATTGTGTAGTCCAGATACAAAGCGTGAAGATTTAAGATAATTTATCGAAGCTTTATTCGATTTTATGATAAAAATAATTCACAAGATTCTCTGCGGTTTTCTTTAAAAATTTATGATTGTATAACGACAAAAATATAACAGGGAATCGTATTTTTTTTTTAAATCATATCTAAATTACATAAACTACGTTATTATCCTCCAAAAAATTAGTACACGAAACAGATATTATAAATGAAGAAATCCTGGACGAAATTTTAGAAAAACGAATGATTCAACGAAAAGACTAAAAATTACAAGATCTGATTCGAACGACAATATAATAAAACGAGAATTTGAATAAAACAAAAACGATTGCAAGAAGAATTTTCTGCTATCAACGATGTTTGTTTTAATTGGCAACGATGATTCACGAATAAGTTATACGGCGATGAACAAGTGATATATTGAACTCGTTTGATAGGTATCAATCGGGTTTCGAGTTATTGTTAATAAACTGCGAATGAAAGATGTAGTTTAACGTATCGTACAGCGGAAAATTATACGTCGAAGTGAGATGAAAGTATTCGAATATGGAATAAATTGCAGAAAATTATAGAAATCAGCGAATGAAACGCGTAGAAGATTTGCATTAAAAATTCGATACATAATAACGTTCTCTCGATCCAGAAATTACTACGTTAATTCTATTTAATTAGGTTAATATTTATGAACTTAATCAGTCTGTAGCTACGTGTTATCGTATTCGTTCGGTTCCCCGACATTTCGTTGCAATTTTCTTTATTAGTTTATCTTGTTAATAAACGTATAATTTTCTTTCTGCATGTATTATATCAGATATATATTACAATTTTTCTTCCGTTGTTATTAAATAAAAATTAGAGAAGAATATAACATAAAACAAAAACAAGTTTCGAGTGGAGTTAAAATTAATTCAATATTAATCTGAAAAAAATAACGAAAGAAAAAGAAGAAAATGTCAACAGCATTCCATTGTCGATACTATGTCAACAATTAAAAGCGATATTCATTATGAATATTGAAACGAAATCACTCGATCAAGCGTATTTAAAACACGATCCAGTTTCTTCTCAAAAACTTCAATAACCATATTTTTGATTTTTTGATCAATTTTCCACGAATATAAATAAAAAAAAGCTACAAAATACAATTGTTACTCATCATCATAACAAGCTTTTAATTTCTCTTGAGAAAAAAATGTTATTGCTTTGTAAAAATTATAACATGATATGTGCAGAAAGAAAATTATACGTTTATTAATAAAATAAACTAATAAAGACGCAAATTATAAAGATCGATTCGATTTTTCACCGAGAAATTTGCCGATATAGTTTTGATAAATTTCAAACGAAAGATCGAAGAGCGATTTAAAATAATGAATAAAATTGTTCTGCGTTCCTTTGCACTTCTTTGCAACTTTTTATTGTTCGGTAAATTATGAGATTCGAGACAAGAATCGACAATTGACTTTACAAAGTAAAACTTCTGTCTTGAATCCGCAGAGAAAATTCGACATAGTTTATTATACCACTTGTCCGATAAACTTTTTCTAAAATCGATTTACGCGAAATTGGGTCGGATAAGAAGAAAGATCGTGATAAATAGATACGAGCAACTTTTCACACGAGGGGAAAACACGTATGTTTCAGGCAGAACCAGCTTTGGTGTACGACAGTGTGCAGGTTTTCGCACACGGTTTGGCGGCGTTGGATCGAAGCCACGACCTGAGGCCCGCCAATTTATCATGTGAAAAAGAGGAGCCTTGGGACGATGGTTTGTCCCTTTACAACTACATTAACGCCGTACGTACGTTCTATAATTTTTGATTATCGAGTTCGTTTACTAGCGAAACCGCAATGCGCAACACAAGCAATTTGAATGTGAAAAGTTTTAATACTGATGAAACGTGGATAATGAAAGAGATAAAATACAAGAATAAAAAGTATCAATTTCTTGCTCGACCTAGCAAAGAAATTTTTGAAGAATTCATAAAATAATGCAACAAATTTTTGTATCAAATTCGTAAGAAATTACAAAGGAAATTAGAAACTGAATTGAGAAATCCTCCCATAAACTACCACGATAAATATTTTATGAAAAATAAAATCGTGAACGTAACTAATTAAATCACATTATTTATTATAAAATATATAAGTATATCACTGATATTAATTATACAATGATATAATTATTTATTTAATAATTTCCCTGCTCTCTACTGAGATTGTATAAATTTTAAATCCATTCCGATTGCGACAACCTGTTCCATTCGTCTCTTATATAAAAATTTATTTATTTTCAAATAAATAAATTTTTCTTTTTTAAGTTTGCAAAACGTTCAAACTTTTGATCGTTGTGCAACGCAATTAGCAAAAAAAATTGTAAAAAGAAAAAAACCTAAATCCATAAAAAATAAAATCTAAATTGCAAGAGATTTTATCAATATTTTTCATTTTCATGATAATGAAAATGAAAAATAATTGATAATTAAAAGCATAAAAGAAAAAAGAATATAAGCGAAATAAGCTTCCCAGAAAGCACTACACTATTTTACCCATCTACTTTATCTACTTAATTATTCAATTATACATGCACTTAAATAAATTATATTATATATATAGATATAAATATAATATATTATAATATATTTTATTTAATCAATATTTTTTTATAATCTAATATTTTTTTCCTATAAAAGAAACAAATGAAATAAATTTAAATACAACACTGAAATATAACACTGAAATACAAGACATTCTCTACCTATCTTAAAAATTCTTTTCATATATTGAAGAATTAAATATTTTATTTATAAAACTTGCCTATCAAAACTTTAAGAGATTCTTCTTCTAACTCTATTTACATTACGACACGATGTGATCTCAAAAAAATAAGGATATAAATGCAAATAAGGATAGTTAGTGAATGAAGTCGTAGCTATCAAATATTAAAGATTTGATGGTTTACAATGAGGAAGTTCAGGGATGACAAACGATTCATGAACACATTGAAAAGGAATTTGTTTTAGATTCTTCTGGAAAACTTTGAATTATATAGAATAGGAAAATCGAGGATATCTTCTACTAAGAGGAAGAACACATCACAATTCTTACCAAAAATCTATGTTTTTATGTTCTTTTGATCTTACTTAAAAATTGAAATTTATCTCATAATAAAAAAGAATGAGGTAATCTTTGTCCTACTCCATTGAAAGGTTCCGCTGAGAGGTTCCTGAAACAGACTATATAAAAAAATTAGTAAAATTTAATAAATACTTTTTAGCAAATGAAAATCAAAAATCTTCTTCCTTTTCTCGGATTTTCTTCGATTCGAACCTGTAACAAACTCAATTTCAATTAATAATTAAAAGTAATAATTAAAAAATAATTCATATTTGAAAAAAGAAACATTAATCAAATTATTAAAATACTACATGTTAAGTAACTCAACTGAAAACAATCTATCAAAAAGAAAAAAAAATGCCTTTCAATAATTATATTTATAATTAAATTTATAATACTTTTAATAACAAATGCTCTTAATGAAGGGGAGCTGAAAAGAAAAAATGACGAAAAGGTAACCAGAAGGATTACCAAAATAGATATCCACTCAATATAAACTCCGAACAAACCGTGAGTGGAACATTTTATATCTCGCAACACTACTATACTAAAATTTTCAAAGAAAACACGAAGAGTGCTTTTTTTATGCTTTTGTATTTGCAACACAAATCATAATCCAAAAAAAAAAAAAATAAAAATAGAAAAATT